AAAATATACGAGTTCTTAGTAGAATCTTACTTATAGACTAAGATAAAATATACGAGTTCTTAGTAGAATCTTACTTATAGACTGAGTTTAAATATACAAGTTTATTGTGGAATCTTACTTATAGACTAAGTTAAAATATACAAGTTCTTCGTGGAATCTTACTTATAGACTAAGTTAAAATATACAAGTTTATTGTGGAATCTTACTTATAGGCTGAAAAAGCATTCACTAGGTCATGAGTCTTCAGTTCTACAGGAAACCCATAAATCTCTATAATGTGTCCAAATTCTGTAAAACAGGGAAAACAACTTATAGTTGAAAGATATCAACATGTAAATGATAACACAGTATTAAAAATACTTATCCATGATACAGAAACAGTCAGTTGTCAAACATCATCAAGATAGTGATAATTATCTAATTAGCATATATGTAGCCCAGCTGAATTAAAAACAAAATTATTACATAAACACATTCTGTTCTCAGATATATATATTATTAATAGGTGCTAGTAACATGTATATGTAAAACAGACTCAGACCACAGTTTACAACCCCCATGTATATGTAAAACAGACTCAGACCACAGTTTATAACCCACATGCATATGTAAAACAGATTCATACCAGGTTTATACACCAAATGTATTTGTAAAACAGACTCAGACCAGTTTACAATCCACAGTGTGGATTGTAAACTGTGGTCTGAGTCTGTTTTACATATACGTGTGGATTGTAAACTGTGGTCTGAGTCTGTTTTACATATACATGTGGTGTATAAACTGTGGTATGAATCTGTTACATATACGTGTGGATTATAAACTGTGGTATGAATCTGTTACATATACGTGTGGATTATAAACTGTGGTCTGAGTCTGTTTTACGTATACATGTGGTGTATAAACTGTGGTCTGAGTCTGTTTTATATATACATGTGGATTGTAAACTGTGGTCTGAGTCTGTTTTACATATACATGTGGATTGTAAACTGTGGTCTGAGTCTGTTTTACATATACAGTATATGTAAAACAGACTCAGACCACAGTTTACAATCCACATGTATATGTAAAACAGAGTCAGACCACAGTTTACAATCCACACGTATATGTAAAACAGACTCAGACCACAGTTTACAATCCATATGTATATGTAAAACAGACTCAGACCACAGTTTACAATCCACACGTATATGTAAAACATAAAGATTGTATAAATTAACGTTATCACCAAGTTGCTTACTTTCATCTGTCATATCTGGATCTTGAGGACAAAAAACGGTGTAGTCATGCTTCGGTTGTTCAATCTGGACATTTTCTTTTGATACTCCTAGCTACGTTAACAAGGATAATTATCAGTGAGGCCACAGATTCTACATTCTTCATCGGTAATGACGATTTTAAGACCAGCGATTCAATTTCCTTCACGTTCTTGTGCTTATAAACACAGTTTGACAAAGCATGACATTCGTGTGGAGTTACAACCACAAACATACGTGAATATTCTAGACTAATACAGCAGATATCAAACTGACATTAAATACTACCTAACAAACATTGTCCCATGACAATTCCCAGTAAAAAATGCTATTTTCTGTTCTTGCCAGATACCGTTGTATACGTAATGCTATACAGAGAAAACTCGCTACATTACAAAGGAATTTGTTTGTTAAGCACAAACTACACAATTGGCTATTTAAGCTGTGCCCACCACGGGTATTGAAACTTGGCTTTTTGTGTTGTAAGCCTTCAGACTTACTACTGAACCAATGGGGGGGGGGGGCTTCTAACAAAGGAATCACAAGTTTATTGTGTGTATTATAGTTATTTAACAGTCAAAGCCACTTTTATGATAATATTTACCACGATAATTGGTACAAAAATTAACTGTTTCGGGAGTCTATTTTTAAATGATTGAAGCTAGGTGTTGAAGGAATGTTTTAGTCTATTTTTTTTTTACACGGTTTACCTGTTTGGGAGTTTATATTTTTAAATGATTGAAGCTAGGTGTTGAAGAAATGTTTTAGTCTATTTTTTTTACACGGTTTAACTGTTTCGGGAGTTTATATTTTTAAATGATTGAAGCTAGGTGTTGAAGAAATGTTTTAGTCTATT